AGCAGTGGTATCAACGCAGAGTACTTTCCACTACAATACACTATACTTTGTGCTCTGTGATCACTTGAGAGCGATTCACAGCCTCATTGTGGTCAATACCTTAGGACATTTATCTTCTCAAATACGGGAGTATGAGCTATAGTCAAGCTAGAGTATGTCTTTTATGAGTGCCGTTTTAGAGCCATATGCCATCTTTGGTGCTGCTTTGTATTGTACATAAATAAACTTCATTTAGATAACAACAATGTATCACAATAACACAAACACAACAGACAGACCCATTATGACAGAATGAAAGTTTGGAACATAGTACTATAATGCTGATAAATATACCGGTTCGATTTCATCTAAGAGAATTTAGATAAACATAAAGCGACTCGGAAACAACTAATCATCACAAGAGATTATGCACGTGTCTTGACCCTGTTCATAATAAATAATACGCTACGCTCCTAGTGCTTTTTGAAAGTAAAACAATGCTAGTGCGGAACGACAACTGACCATCATTGTAGTAGGGAAGCACCTTATCTGGGACCAGAGGTGCGATAGGGGGAGCCGGGCCCCCCAAAAGTGAAGGTGGTTCCAGCTACCACTGACCGGCCAAAAGTGAAGGTGGTAGTGTCGGACACTCACCTCCGAAAAACGTCGACGGGGGGGGGGGGGGGGGAGGGAGGGGGGGGAGGGAGTGTGCGGGGGGGGGGGGGGGGGGGGGGTGTAGAACGGACGAACAGAGCTATCCTTCTAAGTCGAACTGTGATCCAACGGCCCTCTTTAGGGCCACAGATACGATGAATATTAAAAATTTTTATAAATTTTATTTATAAAAATTTTAAAATAGACGTGTTTAGTAAATGGTGTATTTGGAAGTAATAGTTTGTTGGTCTGTACGGATTTTATTAAGCAAATTATGTTATAACGTATAGCGAAGGAAGTAGGTCGATCCAGGCAGTAACGGCCGAGAACCAGAATTTTGAATATTTAAATAGTGAAAAATCATGCGAATTTTCCACTGTTATAAATCTGTTGTTTGAAGATGTCAGCAGTTGCGACTTCATAGGTTTTTGAAGGGTAAGTGTTGTTCTACCAGACAGTGAAGAAATCAGTTTGATTTGAGGAGTGGCCGCCGAGAACGAGAATTTTGAAAAACCTTAAAAATCTGCTCAATTTCGGGCTGTTTGATGACAACTGACATTTAAACTCTCACAAATCCGGACTTTGAAGGTGTGTGATGTTGCGACTTCATAGGTTTTGTAGGGTGAGGTTTGCTCTATCAGAACATATCTTAGCTGTACCGATCCATTGAAACGTCGCCGAGATCCAGGCTCCTAAAGAAGCGGGTAAAAAAACCGTTTTTCAGCTCATAACTTCTTCAGAATTGCATGAATCATGTTGCGACTTCATAGGTTGGATTCTCCTCATCAAGAGCTTTCAGATGATATATAATATGTGGGGGGTTCACGCCTTCCACGGCATATGCCCGGGGGTGGAGTACCTCTCTTCACTAATTCTCCACTGGCGGCCTCCCGCCAATACATTGAAATGGGCGGGGTGGAGAATTAGTGAAGAGGAGTACTCCACCCCCGGGCATATGCCGTGGAAGGCGTGAACCCCCCACATATTATATATCATCTGAAAGCTCTTGATGAGGAGAATCCAACCTATGAAGTCGCAACATGATTCATGCAATTCTGAAGAAGTTATGAGCTGAAAAACGGTTTTTTTACCCGCTTCTTTAGGAGCCTGGATCTCGGCGACGTTTCAATGGATCGGTACAGCTAAGATATGTTCTAATAAGGCAAACCTCACTTTACAAAACCTATGAAGTCGCAACATCACACACCTTCAAAGTCAGGATTTATAAGAGTTTAAATGTCAGTTGTCATTGAACAACCTAAAATTGAGGAGATTTTTTAAGGGTTTTCAGAATTCTCGTTCTCGGCGGCCACTCCTCAAATCAAACTGATTCTTTCGCTGTCTGATAGAACAACACTTACCCTTCAAAACCTATGAAGTCGCAACTGCGGAGGTCTTCAGCCAGCTGATTTGTAACAGTGGAATGATTTTTCACGATTTTTCATTATTTTATCATTCGAAATTCTGGTTCTCGGCGGTTACTGCCTGGATCGACCTACTACATAGATATATGCTCTTAATACTTTCTTTTACATCCCTTTTGCTTATTTTCCTTCTTTTGAGCTTCAGCAAAAAAAAATTTTTCAAACCGAAAAGTGAAGGTGGTCACCCCGTACCAGCTCAAAAGTGAAGGTAGGCGGAGAATCGGCTCCGACTATCGCACCTCTGTCTGGGACTATACGAAGTAGGTGGCGATCCGAATTTCACTCTGAATTGTAAAATCGAGGAAAAAATCACTGATGTTCTTCAGCAGTGACATCCTCGTCTTCCAAGATAGCAACCCGGTCGTCGCCTGCGAAAGACGTTGTTGAGCAAGTTGTATACACATACATATTTACGACTTACTGCGTCCTCTTCTCAAACGATGTCCAATCCGTGAAGGGAGAAGTGACAGCAAAATCATAAGGGCTAGTACGAGACACCCGCCCGGAACGTAAACCATGATGATTCGGTAGAAAATCGTGCACGCCTGATGCGGCTGAGTGGGGCTGCAAAGTGTGTTAACGTTGAATCGAAATATGCTTGTTTAGATTGTTACTCACTCGCATGATGGATTCCATAATTCTATAATTTGATAGCTCAAACCGTTAGCCAATTTATCCATAAAACTCATTGCACCGTATACAAAAGCTCCGCTTTCCTGAAAACCTCATGCAATTGCAGAATCAAATCTTTGGAACAAGTTTTTCTTACCGTATTTTTATTTATGAGATCAGCAGTAATCGACAAGGAAGTGATTAAAAGGATAGCCTGTGCAACACCTGAAAAACAAACGCGTACATTGGACGTCAACATCTTTTTTAAAAAGGGAAGATTTGGTATCCATAACGAACCTATCAAAGTGGCAACAGCATACATCTGATATAAGACAAGATCGAAGAGCATCCAGACACATGTTCCCAGTCCGCAAAATAGACCAATGAAGAAGAGAAACTGATACTGACATTTGGAGCACTGACAGCAGGTTTGAAAACAGTTTTACCTTCCTATTCACAACACGGTTGAACCACGGAATCCCAGTGAAAAATGACACCAAAAACGATGAAAGATAAGAGACCATAGGGAATATAGCGACGTATTTCTAGAAAAAAAAGGCGTGTGTTCATTCAATAAACGCGGGGTCGCACCAACCTTTTCATAATTCTGTGTCAATGTTATATAAAACGGAAAGTAAACTTGTGAGATGTTGACGTATAAGCGAGATAACATGTACAGAAGAGCAATCTTCAAGAAAGTTTAGAGCAAAATTGCATCTCGCACAAGTAAGAGTACCTGATAAAACTGTATATGGCCGAACCAGCTTGTCCAGTGCATTCTTACAAGTTCACTTGCATCCGATGAGAAGGAGTGCGTACGACTAAAAATATATTAATTTCAACTCAAGTGTATAGCAAACAAGTAAATTACCTCATCCTTCTACCAAATTTCGGTTCACGAACAAGCAAGTAGAAGAGCATAGTGACTGCCAGTCCTCCTGCCACGACCAAAAAACCAGCAGTCTGGGATTTTCACATAGAAAAAAATATCTTCAAAAAATGACTTGTACCTACCCGGAAATGCTGAAAATCAGCAGGCCCAATTTGCGACTGATGCGTACTTTCGGACAGAAACCGGGCAAGAACAAGAAACACTGAGAGATTTGCTATAACGGTGAATGAATATCTGAAACAGAGACAGAAATCATCGAGAAAATATGGACTCGGAGTACCTTAGTGAGTTCATTGTAGTTCGACTACTATCAAGTGAAGATAGTTCCGGTATTAGGGCTAGATGTGAGGTCTTGAAAGAGATTTCGCTGGATTTGCGGGTTACGATACAAGAGCAGAATTTACCTGGACCGACGCCCATCCGAACTGGAAAACCATAATAAAAGGAACAAACCATAAAACCTTCAACCACTCAGATTGATTATCCGAACAGAACAAGCAGCGATTGAATATGAAAGGGAAAGAGATAGATACAAAGATAGTACCTTAAGAATGCAAATCAACAAATACATAACGCTTTGACGATATTAAAATTTATATTTAACGAACCTATTATGTGCCATGACATCCTCCGACCAATTTTATCGAAAATTTTTGGTAATATACTTGAATCGCTAGCAATGCCAATAAGAGGAGTGGAGACAGCATCTGTCACCTAGAAGTAGCTTAAAATCGGAACAAAAAAAAGCAGTAGGAACCCACTTGTCCAATCAACATCAACAATCCTGCCCGAGAACTTCGAAATTTGAGAACTTTTTCCAGGTAAATCATCAAATAAGTGAACCACATACTAGCGCAAAGGTCATTGTAGAAATGACCGACACCTGAAGATGGACAGCTCTTCTCATAGAACAG